TATATATATATATATATAATGTGTATACGTACATGTTGTTTTATATGTTATATATTATGATGTTCTGAATACATTCAGCTGTTAGTTTCCAAAATCTTTTGCAACCAAAACAAAATGTGGCCATGTTAAATCTGTTTGCAGTATCAGTTTTAGCTGACCTAGCTCCCTTGTTGATGCATCATGAACACTTGGAAAAAAAAAGAAAACAGTACGGGGTTGTGATGGGTGTGTTTTGCACGTGTTAAAAGTCTACTTTTGAGATTCCAACAGGAGGTTGGCTTGAAACACAGCAGTGAAGGCTACCTATGGGACAGATCTGGTTGGCAGGCCGTAGACTGACGAAGTCCTCTGGATGGAGGATGAAACGTTTCCTAAAGAAACTGGTCCAGATGACATGATTTAACCTTTTTTGTTGTTACTGTATTTACCTGGATGATTGAACTTATAGCCTCTAGTATGAGGTTGTGTTTTGGTGAAATCATCACCTGGTGGCCTGTGGACCATATTGGGCCTGTGAGCTCATTCTATTATATTATTAATAAATCAAATGCAATCCATCATAATAACTGCTTGGAGCCTGACTCTAACTGGACTCAGACACATAAAACAACTGAAACCAACCCTGCTGAAGCCCTTTAGCTCATGAAACGCTTAAACACACAAGACTAAGCTACATAAATATAGTTACCAGAATGGTGGCTTATAAATGTTCAGATCTGCCATCTTTGATTAGAACACTCTGGCCTGTGAGCAAACCTTGGGAAAGACCCCTGGATTAAAATAGCTGTTTTAAATGGAACTAAACTATCAATACACGTGGAGCTAATTCAAGCTTAAACATATACTGTGATTTCCATTCAGCTCATGTTGACTTATTTGAAAATCATTTAGAGGCTCTATCTTTTATTTCTTGCATTATTTCCTAAACCCTGAGCTGTTCGTGTTGCAGGCTCAGATGATGCGGGATCAGGTTTTTAAATCAACTCAGCAATGAAAGTGTAAAACAATCCATTTTGCTGAAATAACTTTAATTACAACTAAAGACTGGACACCAAAGAGAGAGAGGTTTAATAGGCTTGTTGTTTTCTGTGGAAGAAATATATGTTTCTTGTGAATGTGTTGCGCAAAGAAAAATCCAAACTTTACGTGTGAGCGCGCTCAGGAGGAGGAGTTGAAACAGGACTGTGGTGCGTGAGAGGAGGAGCGCAGTCATTCAGTGGAAGAAAAGAGAGGCTGCTGCAGGCGCAGCAGCAGGATCTGGACTTCTTGCAGAAATATCGGATTCAAGAGTGAAGAAGCCTTTTTAAAAGGACGTTCGGGGTTTTATCTTTTCTATAATTTACTTTTAAAAAAGGGAACTATTTTTTTTCTTCTGTGGCGGATTGTTCTGAAGCTCTGATGCTGTCCCCGGATCATGAAAGAAACGCTGACCATGAAGTTCGCCTGGAAAACTAAGATGGTAAAACTGAACGAAACTCGATGAACTCCTTTCCATCCATGCGCGCTGTCGGTTTGGTCTGGGGACGGGGAGTGCGTGGGAGACCCGATTGTGTGCGTGTGAGGGGGCGCGGGGGTGGGATGTGGGGGAGCAGCGGATAACGGGGAGAAAGGAGAAGGAGGCTGAGTTCGGGTGGTTTTGGGAGTGTGGGGGTCCTTCATTTGTTTAACCCACATCTGCTGCGTAAAGGCGCTGCGTAAAATCTACTGTAATCCTAAAGCCGTGACTTCTGTCGCCTCTTCAGCCGTGTCTGTTTATGAAAACTTTGTGGTGGGACAGAGAGGGAGAGATGGAGGGTGGGGGGTTATTGTAGAAGCTCCCGGGGCCATTTCTCTCCACGGGCCCCAGCTGTCCCCCTGAAAAAACAACAGATCAACGCCTCAGATTTAACTCTTCTGTTGTTGTTTTCTTTGTGTGTGTGTGTGTGTGTGTGTGTGTGTGTGTGTGTGTGTGTGTGTGTGTGTGTGCGCGCGTGTGTGTGTGTAAATCTACTAGTTATAGTGAGCAGCTCATCTCGTGTGTGATCATTTGGCCTCATCCTCACTTTTTCTATAGGACTTCTCAGATGCAGTAATTTCTTTGGTTTCACTTTGCATGTACAGTAAACTCACAACTTTATCAGAAAACAAGCCTCCTGACTTACTGTGGAGTGTTGAGTGTGCAGACTTTGGGTCCACACGGGCTCGGAGACCTCCTGCCATTGTTTTGGGAGTGTGTGGACTGGGTGACTCATGCACTGATGTATTTATCTGTCTCGGTGCCAGTTGGCTGGACAGCCAGCAGCAGACAGATGTTGCTAAAAACTTTAAAAAAAAAAAAAAAAAAAACTTGCAGGCCCAGCCGTGGCATGACATGATGCAAAGACCTGCAGCTGTACATGTGAAGAAACACATGTTGCTTGGAAAAGCTGCTGCCCTTCTTTTGTCTTTCTGTGAGCGTTTTCTGCATCTTACGTTTCTTTTCAAGTCCAGACTCGGCCCAGTCATGGCTGAGCGCCACCGGCCTGGCGACTTTGACCCTTGACCTCCTCTGGCGGTCCTTCTGTGTGAGGACTAGAAGTGGACTTTGCCGTTGAGTTGTGTAAATGAGAGTAGGAGTGAAAATGATCTTGGTCAAACTTCTTTGTGTCCAGTGTTTATATATTTGTCCAGTTTTCCTTTTCGCCGCCCTCCTCTGGTCCTGTCTCCATATCCTGATGTCTCAGCAGAACTCCAGTCTCGTTCTCTCTGTTTGTTTATGCACTCTGCAGTTTGGGAGTGATTTACAACCAGACAGGAACAAGCTCGGCTGCGAGATGAGAACAAATCCACTCAGCTCTCTTGTTGTGGAGCAGATTGGAAATCGAGCTCTTTTGGCTCAGCTTTGACACAGAAAGGCAAAGTGACGACGTCGGTGTTTGTTGGAGGGATTTATCTGTTCTGCCTCTTATCTGCTGTCTGTCTGGAAAGTAGTCCAAATCTGACATCAGCTCCAGAGCAGGCAGTGAAAGAAGAGGGAGGGAGTCCTGGTGGGGGGTGGGGATTTGGTCACTCTTGATGTTTTATGGCACTTCTCTCTTGACTTTGTTTCGTTTTTGTGTTCCACCTCTTGTTTTTTTGTTTGTTTTGTTGTTGTTCTCCAATCTCATGGATGTGTTAAAATGGCACTGGTGGAAGTTTGCTCTGCACAAATTCAGCTGGAAGTGATTTTGTATTTTAGCCCCAACACAAGACTCTTTTCCTGCAGAAGTAATGGTGGATGTTTGTTTTTTTTCTCGCCTCTCAGAGCTCGGTGCAGGACTGGGGGGAGGAAGTCGAGGAAGGAGCCATCTACAACGTGACACTGAAGAGGGTTCAGATTCAGCAGGCGGCCAACAAGGGTGCGAGGTGGCTGGGGGTGAGTGTGCCGAGACAGATGTGCAGCAGCAAACTTTCAGCATGCAGACCTGGTATTTTACTGTCCCCTGTAAAACTGCTGTAAAAAATGCAAAACTCGCTACTATGAAAGACAGTCGATCACAGAATTGCCTCTGTATATTTTGCTTGTCCGTCTGTTAGCAAAATATCTCATGAACCACTGGCCAGATTTCAGTGAAACACTCAGACAGTTATCCTCGGTCATACCTCTACAACTGATACATTTTTAGAGTCGACTCATTTCAAGATGGCCGCTGCAGACCGTCAACCTTACAAACACAGCAATTGTTGTGACTCAGTCAATTTTACAGATATATAGGCATGATTGAGATTGAGAGTGGTAGTAGCTGAGAGTCATCTCCAAATCATACGCTACGACAGGCCTATTCAACTGGCAGCCCGGGGGCCAAATCAGGCCCACAGGTGAGCTCAGTTCAGCCCACCAGTGGGTTCATTTTAAATAAAACTAGATTTTAAACCATAAAACAAACTTATTTAATGATAACTGCTGGATGTCCAACCCCTGAGCTCTTGGCTTCCAGTAACCATGGCCCCCTGAGCTGATTAGGTGAATAGTCCTGGTCTACGATCTAATAGATTGTGTGGGATCTTTGTTTAGAACTTTACCATTAACTGTTGGGAGTTAATCTTGTGTCTTGTCTGTTAGCAAAATATCTAAGGGAACCACTTGACAGATGTATATGAAACTCTCAGAAAGTGATCAATGTTTGTACATCTGCAACTAATTAACTTTTGGAGGCAGCTTGTTTCAAGATGGCCACCGCAGCCAGCTGATCTTTCAAAACACACAAATGGCTTTAACTGAGTCGGTTTTTCATTTATTGAGCTAAAGTTTGGTGTTAAAAGAGCTGGAAGCCATCTACATCACATGACAAACACCGAACGCCAACAGATCAAACCCTGGCGTGTAAGGCGGTGGATGATGCGCCTCAGCCTCGTTGTGGCGTCTCTGCCTTTGTGCAGCCTTCCATTCAGCGGTTATTGTTTTAACACCCGACTCAGTTTAGACAACACGTGTAGCAGCCCGATTAAAATAAAACTAATAGTTTTCTCAGGAATGAATGTGATTTCCTGACTTTTTTGATGTGTTTTGTAACTTTTTTTTACAAAAGGCTGCTATGACAAAAACGGAGCATTAAGGGCTTTTCCAGTGAACACACAGCCGCACTGTTTCCTCTGTTTCTAACCACATAATAAGATGTTGTGCTGCGTATTATTGCACAGCACAGAGGCTCCAATTAGAAGCATTAGCTTTGTGTGTTTTTTCTCAGTAGAAGCAAAAGATTTTTTTTTTTTTTTTTTTTAGGGACAAATCAGGATCTTGTATTTGAGTCTCTTTATAGGGTGGGGGGGCAAAGGGCACCGAAAGAGCAAACTGATTACAGCTCTGAGGGACTATGAGGGTGCACTGATGTATTGACAGTGGCATCAGCTGCCAAGTGTATTAGAGCTAATCAAAATAAAGTGTTTTGCACAAGGCCAGCTACTGCATGGGCACAATAAACTGGAGAAAAGTAAAAACAGCTGATTGTCAGTGAATGAAAGTGGGCACAGGCTGAGCTGTTGTGTTTAGTCACTAAAGAGTTTGGTTCTTTATTGTCACATCTTTACACATTTAGGCCTCATACTTGTGTAAGCCCTTATCAGAGGGGAGGGGAGTGGTGGGAGAAGTCAGCTCTGCAGCTGTCCTCCTCTGTGTCTGGGGGTAGTGGGGGGGTGGTGGTGGTGCTGTGATTAAAAGCAGATTGTAGAGTTTCCTGTTGCAGCGTGCTTACTTCAAGTTCTCTTTGCACGCCTGTGCCGCTGTTTTCTAAGGTTCTTTCTCGGGTTCCGTGCAGACACAACAGTCAGACACATCTGGAGAAATCCAGATTAACTTTACATGTTGTCACTGGGGTTAGCCAGCCGTCAATTATTTTACCCGCTTTTTCCATTCCGGGTTGCAGGGAGCTGGTGCCCATCTCCAGAAGTCACTGTGTAAGTGGTGGGAGGACACCCTGGACAGGTCGCAAAGTTCATCACGGGATCACACAGGGACAAACGAGAAGGAAAACATTCACATGCTGACGCAATTTTAGTTTGTATTTTTTTATGTCAGAGTTTATTTTTCAAAGAATGGAATCTATTAATCATCCAAAATGTTTTTTTTTTATATGCAACAAGCATAAATGGAAACTACCGTAGATCAGCTGCTCCTCAAATAAGGCAAATTTACAACTACCTACAAGCCATTTTAAAAATTAAAGGGATAGTTCAAATCATCCGAAGAGGGGTTCCGTGAAAAGGTTATGAATAATAAATATCTTACCGGTACTAGATAACTTCTTGAGTCTAATTAAGACCATTGCATGAACTTTTATATATAATAAAAAGTTGTTTTAGGGGCAGCTGTGACTGAGCATTTAGAGCAGTCGTCCTCCAATGGGAGAGTTGAGGGTTCGATTCCAGCAGCAGTCACATGCTGAAGTGTCCCTGGGCAAGACAATGAAACCCTCATTGCCTCCAATGTGTGTCTCATCGGCGTATGAATGTGATCTAAAGCACTGATTAAGCTCTTCAGATTCAGATTATCTTTATAGAGATCTAGTGCTGTATGGATGGGTAAATGAGCACACAGATTTTAGTGTAAAGTGCTTTGAGTGTCTTGATAACATAGAAAGATGCTATATAAGTACAGTCCGTTTACCCTTTTAGTTCAGCGGAAATCCATTTTGTTCTTGGCCCTGTTTGAACGAAGCATTAGTTCTTCAGTCTAGTCTGATTTAAACTCTGTTTCTCCAATGAGGCAAATTAAAGGAGCTGTTTACGACAGGTAAGATGTTAGTTGTTCATTCCCGTTCCACAGAACCCCTGTTAAAAGATTTGAGCATCGCTTAAAAATAAATAAATAAATTTTATTCAAACAAAATATATAAAAAACATTTCATGTTTTCATGTATCGTACATGTTTGTGTGTTTGTGTGTGTAGGCGGAGGGCGACCGCCTACCTCCTGGCCACACGGTGAGCCAGCTGGAAACCTGCAAAATCCGAAGTATTCGTGCTGGAACACTGGAGCGCCTGGTGGAGACGTTGTTGACAGCATTTGGAGACAACGATCTCACCTACACCTCCATCTTCCTCTCCACCTACAGAGCCTTCGCCAGCACACAGACTGTACTTCAGCTTCTGCTGGACAGGTAGGATGGAACAAGGTCTTTTTTACACCTATTCCACATATAGATACAGTGACAGAACAAAATGTGTGTGAGCTGTCGTGACTTTAAATGCAGTCTCTGTTGAATTTCTGTGTCAGGTACGGAAGTGTGGGGGAAAACGAACAGGAGGGTTCTGAAAGTGGTGAAGCCATCAGAAAGTGAGAGACAGCTTTTAAAGACCTTTACTTTCAGCAGTGTCACTGACTGACTCCATCTTTAGTTGCTGACCCTATTCAAAGTTTTCCTGCTGTCCCCTTCAGTGCCTTGGCGTCAATCCTGCGTGCCTGGCTGGACCAGTGCCCTGAGGACTTCCAGGAGCCTTCAGACTACCCCTGTCTCCACAGGCTGATGGACTACTTGCGCAAAGCCCTGCCTGGTTCAGAGGTTCTTAGACGGGCAGAGAGTCTGCTGGAGCAGCTGCAGGGGCAGGCCGGCATGGATGAGACTCACGGTAATGTTTGTTATGTGCTATGCATACAGTAGTCCCTCACTTATTGCAAGGGTTACATTCCAGACCCCCCCACCCCCCTTCAATAGGTGAAAATCTGTGAAATAGGGACGTAATTTTTATTTTATTATATATTTTAAGGCTTTTTAAACCCTTCTCACACTCTTGCAATGTTCTAAACAATGTTCTAAATGCTCCAAAAAAGCACAGCAAAAGAGAGCAGACAGACTGATGCTACTTATACTGAGCCCCGTGGGTGGACTGGCCATCGGGAGCACGGCAACATTTCCTGGTGACCTGGCCCGCTCAGTGATCACCAGGGGCTGGACCAAAGGTTCAGTTCGGGTCACGCTTGACTATTTTAAATAAATATTCTGATGCATGCTCAATAATACTCAATTTCAAATAAACAATCCATGCTGCTCACACAGGTGTCCACCTCACTGAAGCTCCCACAGCAGCGATGGGGAAAGACAGACCCCCCCCCCCCACCCCCCCCCCACACACACCCCTTTCTCTTTCTGAGGCTGTCTGTGACAGGTTGCGTGCACGCCTGTTGTGTGTGTCTGCTCTGCTGTGACAGACAGCCTCAGAAAGAGAAAGGAGGAGGGGTAGGGTCTGTCTTTCCCCATCGTTACCGCTCAGAGAGCGGGCCAGGCCACCGGGAAATGTCCCGTTGCTCCTGATGGCCATTCCGCCCCTCAGCGCAATGCTCTGGTTGGTCACCTTCCATCAGTTAGCCAGTCATGTGTCGTGTACAACCTTACGTTGAAACCGCAAAAGAGCGAATCCACGAAAGTCGAACCACGAAGTATCGAGAGACTACTGTATTTAGATTTTGTTACTTAAAAGTTGGTATTTCCTGATTAATTTCAATTGCTCTGCTTTCAGTTGGTTTTCATGGCAATAGTTCGTTCTGTCTCGGGGAGGAAGAAGAGGTGGAGATTGAGGTCCAGGATGACTTCCTGTCATTTGATGCCGACCTGGTGGCCGAGCAGCTCACCTACATGGACGCAGTAAGTGGAGAAAAATGAGGAGAGAAACAAAGATGCATCCTTTTCATGTTTATGTCAGCGTTTTAATGCTAGTTTTGCTCTTTTCCCCCCAGCTGCTGTTTAAAAAAGTCGTACCTCACCACTGTCTGGGCTCCATCTGGTCTCAGAGGGACAAGAAAGACAGCAAGCACACCGCTCCCACCATCCGCGCCACCATCACTCAGTTCAACGCCATCGCCGCCTGCGTGGTCCGCACGGTGCTGAAGCACAGACAGCTCAGACCGCACGTCCGGGCGCGGGTCATCCAGCGCTGGATCGACATCGCCCAGGTCAGGAACGAACACAGAATCTCTGGTAGATTAAATCTGTTGCACCAAGTCGAGTTGTGACTGATGTTGTGCTCATTTGTATTAACAGGAGTGTCGAATACGCAAAAACTTCTCGTCTCTGCGAGCCATTGTGTCTGCGCTGCAGTCCAATCCTCTGTACAGACTGAAGAGAGTATGGGCCTGCGTGCACAAGTAAGCCTCCTGTCTCTCAAATATGTAGATAATTTCAGTGGGTTTTGATTAAAGAATCAAACTTTTGGTCGAATGTGTAGCTCTGCATTCCTATTATCTAAAACAAACCTGTGTTTGATTTAGAGACAGCATGCAGACGTTTGAGGAGCTCTCAGACATTTTTTCAGACCACAACAACTACCTGACCAGCAGGGAACTGCTCATGAGGGTGAGTTCTAACACTCCTCATGTGGGCACGTTAGATTTATTGTTCCCTCAGATTAAAAATGTGTAGTCCTGAGAGCATTTCTTCATTCACCAATTTGGCTCTTGAGGACAAAAGCTGGTTTTGTTTGCCTTCCAGGAAGGCACTTCAAAGTTCGCCAGCCTGGAGAGTTGTGCCAAGGAGCACCAGAAGCGCACGCACAAGAGGCTACAGCTGCAGAAGGAAATGGTGAGCCAATCATAACCAGGATTTTTACAAACAAATGGATTTATTCAAACTGAGGTGACATTAAATGTTTGCAACACATTCCTCCTAAGTAGAGCCCTGTTAGGAGTACTCCTGCCTCTCCAGGATAATAAAGCCACATGCTTAGCTTTGTTTGTTCAGCGCACAGTGTGCTGTGCTCACATTAAGCCCGAGCTGTAATTTACAAGCCTGCCTCACCATCTGTGGAGCCCACAGAGTAAATTAAAAGCTAAAGCAGCAATATAAAGTTTTAGCACGTCTGGCTGCGTCAAAGAGAGCTGTAGATGAGAGCTTTTGTTGTTGACTTAATGCGTATTACGTAAAAGGTGCAACAGTCACTTCCTGTGTTTGCTATGAGACTTTAGAGCACTGATTAGCAACTTGTGGCTAGGGCTGGGTACCTTTCTAAAAAAATTGATACCGGTGTCGGTACCTTCATTTTGTTGTCGGTTCCTGAATGGTATTTTTTTTCAGCACCAATTTTATAATTGATATTAATTCTAAAAATAAGAAAATTACGTTACACATTACAGTACAAATCTTGAGTTTTATTTTTTAACTTTGGTATTTTTTCATTCCAAGCAGTTTTCTTACATAAAAATAAACAAATAATTTCCAGGTCAAAAGAACAGTTGCAAACCAGTGACACGTCAGGTCTAAAGCCCCCAGTCTACTCCCGCATACGACCGTACGCGGAGGTATGCACGTACCTCCGCAGGGAATGTCCGCGCAAAGCTCAATTTTTACAACCGCGTACGCGGTGTCGCACAATAAACTGCCCGGCGATGGACTTTTTTGTATGCAACACCAATGTATTAAATTCCCCTTCTTCATCCCTGATCTGGCCTTGTCTTTATTTTTTTTGCCAAGAGGCAAGAGATCTCTTCCTCCTCCTTTGATGCCATGACTGAAATTGTGAGAAATGAAGGAATTTGTCATGAGTGAATTAAAATCAGGTCCAGCGTGGCTGCGGGAGGGTCTGGAGATTTCCTGTTGGGCTGATCTGATGTGTGGGCTGCAGGGCCAGCGCTCCCTTTTTTTTTAAATAATTTTTTAGAACTTTTTATTAACAACATATAAACACAGAACACCTCTGCGGCTCATGCTGCCAGCTCTCGTTTTTTTTTTTTTGACCTGTCAATCAATCCAGTAGGCGTGTCAGCAAATGACCAATCGGCGAACTCAATTTGTCCCCAAGGTAAACGCCCCTTGTCTGCGAAGCTGCTCTGCAGCTGCTCAGGGTGTACGCTGGAGTATGAAGTCTCAACCCTCCGCGTACATACGCGCGTACCTCCGCGTGGGCTTACGTACGCGGGAGTATACTGGGGGCTTAATGCACACTGCTACACATTGAGGACTTTTTCACTTAGTAGTTTTTCTTCAGAAAAATCAACGTCTGCTTTCTCTGGACACAAACAAGCCCACTCCTGGCTGATGGTGTCTCCAGCTGTAGAAAATGTTCACTCTGAGGGTGTGGATGATGCTTGTTGCACACACAGATTGGTTGCCAAGTTTGACAGCACTGGCATAGTGCCCCTCACATTCCACCACCTTGGATTCACTGAGGTTAGAATTGATGCAGACTTCTGTACTTCTGTGTCTCTTCCTGAATCTTCTCTGTGGCTCTCTGGGGTTTAGGGCTCTGATCATCTCCCTAATGACATTGGAACACAAAACATCAACAATAACATGGTTGTGTTATTATTGCTCAAAAAACATTATCTAGGCTGAGAGATAAAGTCTTAACTGGTTAGCAATATCCTTTACAGCTTACTTACCTCCACCATGCAGCCCCCACTGTAGAAAAAGGTAGAAAACAACAAAGTTTGTGACTGTTCTGTGGCCCCCACTTCACTTTTCTTTTGTCTGTCCTCCTCACATCAGAGTCAGAGGCTCCTGTGAGAACATAAACAATGAGCATTAGTGAACTGTTTAACCAGCTGACCTGATGGATGAGCACATTTTTACAAGCTAAGATTTATCTGTTACTGTCACTTTTTAGTTAGCTTCTGATTTAGCTAGCTACATAGCATAAACACTAATATCTTAAAGTTAGCATTTCATGGACCCTAGTTTAACCCACCGCGATGCACATATTAAGCTGCAGTAATGTTAACAAACATAAACTTACCAGCTGAAATCACAGACACAGCTCCGTCCTCGGAGCGAAGCAGAGTCCAGTCGTGGAGATTGTGAATCAGGCTGTTCAGGCTCTAACACCCACAGGCTGACTTAAATGCTGAGAGGAGGAGTTTGCGGTCAGCTCTTCTTGCAGTCAAACACGGAGCAACTTTACGCTCTTAAATTCTGTGCATGGTCAGGCGCCGCATATTAAGGCTTGCCTTAGAAACCACGTGAACCTCGTCTGTGGGCGTAAGCTTGTCTGTGTTTTTCCTGTGTTGCAGCACTGGCATTGGCTGTAACTTTACATGTAGTTGACACCACGTGTAACATTGCAGCCAATCGCTGAAACTTGACACTGAAAGAAGAGGCATATTTTAATCCATACACTGACCGAAGCAGTTCGGTCGGTACCATAAAAGAACCCAAGTTCGGTACTCAGCCCTACTTGTGACTCATGGAACATATTTGGTCCTCAAGCTCGTTCCATCCAGTCCAGTTCTGTATCTACTCATCAATAAATTAAAGGCTTAGCATTCTGTTTAATGCCAGACAAACAAAGATCATCTTTCTTTGTTAAAAATGATTGAGCTATAGTACTTTTAGTAAAATCTTGAAAACAGGTTTGTGTACAGTAGTCCCTCGATACTTCGCAGTTCAAGTTTCACTCTTTCACGGGTTTTCAATGTAAGATTATACACGACACACAATTGGCTGATTGATGGAAGGTGACCAGCCAAAGCATTGTGCTGAGGAGCAGACTGGCCATCGGAAGCACCGGGACATTTCCAAAATTTCAATGATTGCAGAGGGGCCCCTCCTTTCTCTTTCTGAGGCTGTCTGTCACAACAGAGTAGAGACGCACAACAGGCGGGCGCGCAACCTGTTATGTGTCTCTGCTCTGCTGTGACAGACAGCCTCAGAAAGAGAAAGGAGGGGGTGGGATCTGTCTTTTCACATTGCTGCTGTGGGAGCTTCAGTGAAGCAGATACCAGAGTGAGCGGCATGGATTGTTTATTTAAAATAATCTAGTGCAACCCGAACTGCGCCTTTATTCCCCCTCAGTGATCACTGAGCAGGCCAGGCCACCAGGAAATGTCCCAGTGCTCCCAATGGCCGGTCCACCCTTGGGCACTGATTTGCTCAGTAACGGTAGCATCAGTCTGTCTCTTTCACTGTGCTCTTATAGCGCTTAGAGAGTTTAGAACATTGTTAAGAACATTGCAAGAATGTGGGAAGAGTTTATAAACCCTTAAAATACATATACCGGTAAATACTAAATAATTATAATGTCCCTACTTCGCACATTTTCACCCATCACATGGGTGTCTGGAACGTAACCCTTGCAGTAGGTGAGGGACTACTGTAATCTAAAGTGATATTGTGAGATCTTGCATAATCTTTTTGGGCTCTGAGAATGTGTTCAGGATGACTCTCAGCTACTACCACACCAAAGTATAGCTCAATGTTTGTGAAATTTACATATTGTAGCCATTTTTGTGTTTTCTTAGCTGCTAGGCTAAGTTAGTAAATTCAAATTAGCATGTCTATAGCTTAGCATTTTAGCATTAATAAACAAGTAGTTAATAAAAGTGAAATAATTGGTTCATGTTTGGGACTTCTTTGATCTTTGATGAAATGCCGTACATGCAGGGTCAGTGTTTTTAGTGCCTGTTCAGTGGGCTGAATGTGGTAGTGAGATGAAAAAACAATTTTCTGAATAAACCAGAAATTATATCTATAGTTTATCAAAGAAGTCATGTTGCCACTTTTCAACAACATGCATTTTAACTCTTTTTTTTTTTTTTTTTCCCCTTCCTCAGAACCACTTAAAAGTTAAAAATCTAAACACAAATACCCAGCTTTCTGTTTGTTTTAGTTCATTGATTATAAAATACCGGATCAGGGTAGCTTAGGACCCATAAAGTATTATTCTCACTGTCCTTTTGAAAAGTGTTTAACTTTTAAAGGGTTTTTGTTCATGCTTATGTTCTGATGTGGTCCTACACATCATTCGGTGCTGAGACCCTGACTGTGGCGTGTTACAATAATAACAGAACTGTTTCTCCACAGGGAGCAATGCAGGGGACAATACCATACTTGGGGACTTTTCTAACTGATCTGACCATGTTGGACACAGCCCTGCCAGACTTAGTAGAGGTAAAATAAAAAATCACCTGCTGGTTGTTTACTTTGTGTCGTACGTTTTCACCAGTGCACAATAAATTCTGTTGATGGAGTGGTCCACCTAATTCTGTTTGTCTAATCGTCCCCCCGGTATGCGATGTCCCGGCTCTGATAGCATGCTCTTTGTGTCTACTGCAGGGTGGACTGATCAACTTTGAGAAGAGACGAAGGGTGAGTGTTTCCTCCGTGATCATACCATATTACCTCACGTGCGTCACTCAGCCACATGTTTGATGCCACCTTCTTTCGGTCTCTGCAGGAGTTTGAGGTCATAGCTCAGATTAAGCTGCTCCAGTCGGCCTGTAACAGCTACTGCTTGACTCCCGACCCAGCTTTCCTCCACTGGTTCAAGAGCCAGGCTCAGCTCAGTGAGGAGGAGAGGTACCGCTTCCGTTATTTAATATCACAGTATCGTCTTTTTTAACAGCATCGCTAAATGTTAGATAAGAAGCAAATTAGTGCATGAGTCATGCTTTGTTGGATCAATGTTCATTGCCTCCCCCTGCCATGGCTTTACTCCCCACTGATCCATTGTGTTTTTATTGTGTGAGCTCCTTTTGTTTTCGCTCTCTTTACTTTTCTCTATGCTTCTTCTACTGAGAATTCAGTTGCCAAGAACAATGTGGTGTTATTTTTATGATGTATTTTACAATGTCTTACAGCTACGCCTTGTCCTGCGAGATTGAAGGTCTTGGCGACAGCAGCCCAACTTTACCCAAAACCCGAAAAAGCATGGTGAAGAGACTCAGCCTGTGAGTACACTTAGACAAAAATTGAATGCTGGTTTTTATTGTCTGCCACCTTATGATAATGGCAAACAGTAATGTCTCTGTGTGGTTGTGCGTGTGTGTCTTGTCACCAAATATTTTTTGAATCGCGGGACAAATTTTAACAGAACTTACTTTAAAGTGTACATCTACAACTGATTAACCGTTGAGTCAGCTTGACTGAGGACGGCTGACACAGACAACTGATTTAAAAATACAACAAAAATGGCTACAACTCAGTCGGTTTTACAGATAATGAGCTACGGTTTATTTGTGATAATAGCCGAAACTGATCGAATGAACGGATTGTGCTAGATCTTTGTTTTACATTTTACCATAAACTATTTAAAGTCGGTGTTGTTTTGGTTTTGGTTTGGTTTATTTGTTATATGCAGATAAACACAAGGTCATCAATGCAATGAAATGATCAGGATGAGAAGAACTATCTTGACTTGCCAAAAAAACAAAACAACGAGAAATACCAAAGCATGCAACAAAAATACAAAACCAAGATGCCAAAAGTGAAAAGTGAAATACAGCTACAGCAGCACGGTCCTATTAGCAGAGTGGTTCTGTTAGCATTGAGGTTCTCTAATGCTGCTTTTCCATTAGTAACGGTGCAGCACGGTTTGACTCGACTCAGCACGGTTCCAAGGCTTTTCCACTAGTAATGGTTTGTAGAACCCATCTCTTTTTTCAGAACCTTTTCCTCTGTGGTTCCTAGCGGGTGATCAAAAACAAAAACCACTCGTCTAAACTGAACAATAAAAGTAGACACGAGAGCAAATACATCAAATGATGAAGAAAACATATTCAATTTTAAATATAGATGATTTTATAGAATCTGGTTCATCAGAATTTAATGGTGAACTAAAGTTCATTAAAAGTTTATTAGCAGGATATATATATATATATATATGTACACATAGTTTAATTTGATCATTTTAATAATCTGTATTCTTTGTAATTTACCAGAAACATTAAAAATAAATTCTCAACCTGTACTAAAACCTGTTTCAGTGTCTCACCGCCACCAGCTGGTGAGGCGCGTGACGTCAGTTTGAACCCCGCCCACTGGAACCAGTACTGAAAGCATAATGGAAACACAACGTGTACCGTACCGAGCCGAGTAGAACTGTGCTGTACCAGTAATAAAGGTACTAACAGAAAAGGGGCATTAGCAATACGATCCCATTAGCAGCATGGTACTGTGAGCAGCATGGCACTGTGAGAAGCAGGGCACTGTTAGCAGCATGGTACTGTTAGCAGCATGGCACTGTTAGCAGCATGGTACTGTTAGCA